GAGGCTGGTAGAGGAGGAGGAGACAGCTGCTGAAATAGGACTTCTATTTAGGTGTGTGAGTTTTTAGAGAGCATCTAGAGCAGTAGAGTGGGTGGAGAGGGTTTGGGGAATCAGATGTAGGTTGTAATTTTTAAATTAACAGAGCTCAGGATACTCCCACCGCTCACAGCAGAGGAGTGTAGAGGCAGAGCATCTGTCAGCTTAACTGTAGCATGGCTCATAACACTGGGCTTCAGCCGCGTTGCCTGCCTATCACTGTCTTAACATGGCTAAGGCTTACCAGTATTGTAGCATTTTTCTGCAATAGGGGCTGTGTGCTTTTCTGAAAATGGACAATACTGCATTTATAAACCTTTTATCTCATACTTGTACGCCTGTCTCTTAGGGCTGGGCGATAAAACGATAATGATAATTATTGCGATATAACTTTGCTCGATAGAAATATAAGAAATGTTTGATAAATGTTTGATATAATAGAGCGTTTTTACACTTCCACGTTCTAGTGAAAGCCCTGGTGCCGTTTTCTACTGCAAGGAAAGCGACACTACTCTGCTGTCAGCACAAGAGGGCGCACTTCCGAGTTTTTCAACGTGATTAGAAAGAGGAGGGTCAAGGAGTGAAATGGGTCACCATATATTCCTTAGCAATGTCTGAAACGTGGAGTTATACATTCCCTGTCTGAGTGGAGCGACCGGTGATCTGTTCTCCTGTGACCGAGTGTGAGTGACGAGGTCAGTGGCGTAACTGTACTGTCCTACAGTGAACTCACCTCTTTCTGTACATCCTAACCAGCTTTAGCAGCGTTAAATCACATCATCATTGATGTTACTGTAGATCAAACAAGACAAAAAAGCACTGATTTCAGTTTAAATGTACCTCCGTTTGTCTGGTGTGAGAGATTCACACTGCAGTTAAAGCTTTTACACAGCGAGCGTCAGACATATTGCGGTTCTTAGAGAAATCCAGATGTCTGCTTGCTGGTGTGTGGATACTTTGATGTGCTCTGACAGGGATGTGGCAGTAAGGCGGTGTGAACCATCATTGACCTACCGAGCCAGCTAACATTTGCTGTTCGTATTAAGCTGACGTTGTTGAGGAACTAAACAGTTTAGCACTCGTAACCAGATAGCCTAGCACTCGTCACTAGACAGCTAAAAATAATCTCCTTCCCAGCTGGTAAAAACAGCTCACCAGAAACCTTCTCCCACTCTCCCATGACAGATCTGTGAAATGTTCCACTGGTTGGTGAGTGTTTGTCGTGTTCCGACCATAAAGGATAGTTTAAAACAGCAATTAACCCACCAGGAGCAAAAATCAGCCTTCAAACTTGAAAGAAATAATGATTTGACATTTATCGCGATATGTATCGATATCGACTGATAGGAATTTTTTATCGTGATAATATTTTTGGCCATATCGCCCAGCCCTACTGTCTCTCCTCCTTTGCTTAGACAGACTACAGTGCAGTCCTAATGAGCTATCAGACTATACTGGAGCCTCTCAGCTGAGCAGAATTAGCTTATATTGCTCTTTGGGTATTCTTTTGCATATTTTATTTTACGTGCTTGTGTCCTGTGTTTAAAATGACATTTGCTTGTCATTTGCATTCCCTCAAACAGGAGCCACTGCATGGCATATTTCACAAAGCTCTTTGGATTGAAAAATAATCATCTCATTAGTATTCTTACAGGCTACACTCTTAAAAATAGGGTTCTTTACTAAAGAAAATGGTACTATATAGAACCATGAACACTCCAGGAACCCTTTGCCTGATTAAAGGGGTCTATGCATCTTGAAGAGACTGAAAGAGACTGTGGTGTAGATGTAGGTGTTTGGAAATGGTTCTATATAGCACAAAAAAGGGTTCTTTCATTGTGACGATATCGGCCTTCTTACAATATAAGAACCCTTTTTGGTGCTATATAGAGCCCTTTTCAAAAATACAACACATTCTCCATCAATTTGAAGAACCATTTCATGATGCAAAAAACGATTTAATTATGAAAAGGTTAATTGAGTCTAGAACCATTTTGTAATAATGAACCCTTAAAGAACCATCTTTTTTTAAGAGTGTTGCATTTTCATTAACAGTCTCAATTCATTTTTGCATGACCATTTGAACCTCTCTTAATCCCTTACAATTAAACAGTTTTATGTAAATGAACTCTGTTCTGATTGGCTGCTCTGTGTTGTGCCTCATTCAGAAAGCGGTTCATGCTGAAACGCTCATCATAACTTTAGCGTGAATGGGTGGGGCTTAACTACACTCAGAAATAAAGGTACTAAACTGTCACTGGGGCAGTTCCCCTCTTATCACTGGGGTGGGACCCTCAAGGGTACATCTCAGTACCTTTAGTCAGGGAACATAACTGAACCATAATCCACTGAAATGATATGTTCTAAGCTGTACTGACTCCACACACCCCGTCTCGTCTCCAGGCTTTTATTTTACTGTTCTGTTTTAAATCATTCGGCTATGAAAAGGTACAAATACGAACTTTTCACCTGGAAAAACTTATTTAAGGTTCACAATCAGACCTTAAAACCACTGTTGTAGCTTTGAGGGAACATTTACATTGTTTGTACCTTCATGAACGAAAATGTACCTGAGCAGAACCTTTATTAATAACAGTGTACTGTAGGCTGAACTGGTGGATTTATGTAAATGGGTTTGGTTTTGTTGATGTCACAGAAACAATGACTTCAGCTTAGTTTCCATTTGTGGACCGTGTGGACTGGAGAGCAATGTTTATATACTTCATCAGAGTTCATTAAAAACGGAAATTCAGTTTTACACAATGTAGAACCTTTAAAGGGGCATTACGGCTTAAAACTAGCATTAAAATGTAATTTTTCATGTTATGCTGTATTCCGTTGCACATTTTTTGACAGCAAAAAGCACAAAGCACAGACTGTAATGTTTAAATTTAAAATTTAAATTTAGATTGATTTTTTTTATTTACGTGATTAAAGGAAAACTGATTTAGTTTTGTTATATTTTATTGCTGCTACTTAGCACATCCTTGGTTTTTACCAAAGTAAATTTTGATGGGAAAAAGATGTTGGAGTATCTTATATTATATATTAGCAGGAAAGTTCAGTAAAATTGAAATGAATTGAATTCTTTCTCTTCATTGTTAGTTAGCAAACAGAAAACAACCTTAAGCTAAATTTAAAAGCTGACAGCTACGTAAGAGTTATTTGGTGATTTAGTGATTCATAATCCGAATAATCAATTATTCGTGTCAATAATTGATAGATTATTCAACTGTCAAATTAGCTGTTTGTTGCAGCCCTTGCCTCTATCGTAGTGATAAAGATATCATGTCTGCTGGCGTAACTGCTGATGTAGACCTGAATAAATGCAGACATGATATTTGGCTTCCTAACAGAAACTTTAGGCTTTCTTCTGCATTCCTCAGTGAGGGGGTTGGACATGTTTGAGCCCATCCTCAAGTATCTGCTTTTAAAAAGTTTCAAAAGTTCCTCCCACCTTCGACGTATGTCATCAGAAGGGGATTTTCCTAGTCTTTAAACCAGAAACTCTGCTGTAGGAGATGAGTAGGCAAGTTTATAACACATGTAGTGATGGTTAAACTGTCCATAGTGGTCAGAGTGTCTCTTTAAAGGAAAGCATAGTTATTCAGCATTGTAAGTGGCTGGGTTGTGTACTACAGTGTACTTCACCTCAGGAGAGTCTTGTTCATTAGTTCATTGGTTGCATCAGGTGTGTTGGGAGCAGGTGAAGCTCTAAAATGTGCAGGGCAGTGGTGATCCAAGACCAGGATTAAGAACCTCTTCGTATTCGGAAGACTGAAGTTTCCGTGCTCAGGCAAGTACAGCACTGCTTTAACCCGCTATGGTGTTGCCATATGGCAACAATTACTTTATCTCAGTTTTAATAAAAAGTAGTAATATAAGATCCGTGTTTTCCTATTTATTTGTGGGAAAAGAGTCTTTTACTTTGAAAGGACAAATACTTTGACATCACGTGACCAGGAATTCTTATTATGGCGTTGTTATTACTGTACACTATGAATACCAGCTGAAATTGTATTTATTTCCAATATTTGTAAATATTGGGTCGTACATTTGACTAAGTATATGTTGGATTCGTTTGGTCTTGTTTTCAATAAAAGGATGTTTTTAGAGAAAATTTTGGTTTTATGGTGCTTTTTTATTGATTTATTTATTTTTTTATTTTTTTATTTTTTCTAAGATTGTACCTTGTTGCCATATGGCAACGATTGACCAAATACCCCACTTAAAAAAAAATAATAAATAAATAAATAATTTATATATATATATATATATATATATATATTTCCATTATTTAAGCAATTTTAAAATTACAAAAACACAACATTTTTATCATGTTTACATAATAATTCATGCAATAGAGGGTTAATGTTAGGCACAGCACATTCCCTCCAGTATAATATCCATGTCACACTGATGCCATGTGCATGTAATACAATTGGATCTGTTCTGTTACTTCAGCCCTTTGCAATGTGTTTTATTGTGGAAATTTATATTGCACTGACAATAAAAATATGGTTAATCCAACAGGCTTAGTAAAGTTAGGGATGCCACTGCCAGTATCACACGTCTAGAAGGCTGTTAGCACAGTGCGGCATTATTTCTGACCCTCTGCAATAGAGCACAGCTCTGTGTGGATGAACTACAGAGCGCTGCAACACATGAGCCAACTTCCATTACTGTTCCAGGCTGCGCTCGGCTGGGACATCAGCCATGTCGTTCGCGTGGCTTGCGTCAGCACTTCTCTTCAGCGCACACACACAAACGCTCTGGTACAATCCACTGGTTTGGCGTCGCTCTCGGAAGAGCCGCTGCAGATTGAAAGAGTTCACTGTACTCCGAGCAAAGAGAGCACGTCATCAGAGGCTCCATTCCTCTGTCTTTCCGTCCTACTGTGTATCATCTCTGCTGTGTGCATTCGCCTTTCAAACCAAAATGTTTCTTTTTCTGTTCTTTCGCAGGAATGCTAACCATCACAGACTTCATCAATATACTGCACAGATACTACAAGTCACCCATGGTATGTGAACCCTGCCTTTGTATTCTAAGTAAAGCACAGAGCTGGGTGTTAATCAATATATATATATATATTTTTTTTTTGAACCAGTATTTGCATGAATGCAAACGGCGAATGGGTTAACTTGGGTAGACGCTCTCTGTCTATCTCTCTTGCTCTTCTCTGCTATAAACTAATCTTGTTTTCTGCTATAAACTAATCATAGCAGACTTCAAATTTGGGTCGCACTCTATTTTGTCCCCTGATAGTCCCCTGTAAATCTTCTGAAGATGCTTAAATTGTTAACAAACTGTCTGATAACTCAGTAGTTTAGGATTATGTTTAGGTTCTGGGTCGAAGTTAAAATGAGGATTAGATTTAAGGTCAGATTTAATAAAATCTGTTACATTCAGCATGAAGTTTAGCTGCATTGAATAAATATTTAGTTGAATGTCAGGTGAGGCTGCTATAGAGAATATACTTTTTGGCCAAATCTGGCAAATTTGAAATGTGTTTGGAAGATTTGAACAACAATAACTACGGAGACTTGCTGCACCTTCAATCCAGCAAATCTATACTTACACATATAGATTGGCATCTTGTACATCGTCCAACCCTATCTTGTATAATCTGGAAGGTTTCTATATCAATATTCTATCCACTGCATCTCATTTATTTATCTACACCGAGAAGCTATCAGTGCAGTAGCTAAACAGTATATACATTTATGTTTATGGCGTTTTGTGGCTTACAGTAGTGCTTTATCTGCTCAGAGCTTTATCCTAGCTCTTACTAAAAGGTCAGAGACCAAACTAGTCTTTAGTAGGGCTAAACGATATGGGGGGAAAAATCTAATTGCAATTTTTCCAACCAGTAATGCAATTTATTTTCTATAAATTAAGGTTCAGGTAGTTTTTTTGGCCAAGTAGTTCAAAATATCCACTTTTTCTGGCTTGTGATGTCACACCACAAGGTTTGGTTGACTCTGATTGGTGTAACTCACATGTGTCAAGCTACAGTCCTGGTGGGCCAAAAACTATGCAGATTTCAGCATGCTGCCTCATTAAACACACCTGATTCAGCTCATCAGCTAATTAGCAAGGCATTCATAAGCTGAATTCAGAGTGTTAAATGAGGGTAAATGCTGATCCCCACAGCACTTTAGCCTGGAAGGTCCCCAGTTTGACATGCCTGGTCTAACTCTTCTACAGTCAGTGCACTAGCTCTGTGTTATTAGGTTATATTTCCCCTCTTAAAACTTAAGACAACGTTTTTGATAATGTAGGCTGTAATTTTGAAAAACTGCAGCTCTTACGATTTGAAAATTGCACTCATTTTCGGTATATAAAAACAATTAATCGTTCAGCCCTGATCTTGAGCACTGCCAGAAACAGAAGTCAGTACTGATATTAGAAAGAAAGATACAATATACAGAAATAAGGCAAAGCATAAATGCTGTACAGTACATTTCAGTAAGTGCTCATTTAAAATGCTTCATAAAGAGATCAGTCTCCAGTCTGCGCTTGAAGGTGGCCTCATTGAAGAACACCTCATTCCACCACCTGGGTGCCAGGACAGAGAAGAGTCTTAATGCTCGTCTTGCGTGAGTCTCGATTGATGCCGAGCCATACTTGAAACTTGAAGGGCATGAAGTACAGATCAAGCTTTGGCCATTGCCATCAGGTCGGGAGGGGGTGGTTCATTTCTGGCTTTGTAGGCGAGGGTTTAAAATCTGATCTGGGCAGCTACAGGAAGCCAGTGAGGGGAATGCAGCAGTGGAGTGACCAGCCAGGAGCGAGTCAGCAGTAGTCAAGCCTTGAGATGACAAGGCTGAACAAGCACCTGGGTGTCATCCAGAATCTCACCAATAGCATAACCTAGATCGGGTGGTATCAGAGTGGACTGGATCGGCAGGCAGGACCTCCACAGTCACCACAACAACAATGTTCTTATTAATTCTGTTTTAAATAACTACTTCCTGCAGCATCTACTGTTAGCATATTGATTGTAAATACACTATATGCATGTTTCTGTTATCGTGGCCACAGTTTCTTAACTTTGGTCATAAGACTCATTGGCTTGGCCCGAGTGGCCAGTGTTATATCCGTCTAACCCTGCGTCTAGATGCGTCTATAGGCCTGGTGCAGTGCGTAGGTGTCTGTATAGGTCTGCTGCAGCGTGTGAAAGTCTGTATAGACGTGTTGCCGCATGTGGATGTGGGTATAGATCACACGTTGTATAAAGACCGCACTGCAGTCTGGTGCCTTCCTTGGCCCGACTCCCAGGCTGGCTCTTTGTGGCAGTGCGCCTGTAACTGGCAGCCGCAGGAATACAGCAGATAAAAATACCCCACCAGGGCTCTGCTGCATCTCCGAGGTGCATTCACAGTCTCTCTCCAGGAATTAAAGCACAGAGGTCAGGACTTCATCAGCGTTTCTCACGCCTCCCCCACCACGGCAGCTTAACTCATAGAAACTATGCTTTTTTTATCGATTTTTTTTTTTAATGATTTGTTTAAAGTGCAAGTCATTTTGAAGTTTAAGAGGCAAGCATAGCTGTGCTGTTGTTACAGTTATGGCTAGTTATCCGCTTTTAGTTAGTTTGTTTCAAGCCTCACCGCTGTGAGTCTTCTTGCTCATCAATATTCATGAGCTCTGACAGCCTTTGTGTTTCGTTCTTATAAAATCTGTGATTACAGCTTGGATTAACCCAAGAGGTTGAAAATAAGTAGTGAATCCTAACTATCACTACAAAGGAGCATCCTCTGTCATGCATATTAATGAGGAAAGGAAACGCGAATGCTGTCAGATCTGGTCCGTTGAGACAGGAAGTAGTGAATGATGGTGCAGAACTTCTTCCTGTGAAGGGATGCGTAGCACAGTGGGAGCTGCCCATGGGTTCAATTACTTATCTTTACCCAGCTGCACTCCCACACATACAGATAGGACTGAGTGATGAATTGAGTTAATGTCAGATCGATTTTTTGATGAAACAGTGTCTCTCTCTTCCTCAGTCTGGTATTGGTAGCAAAGGCTTGAACTAAAAACAGTTGCTACTTCAGTGAATCAGGTGATGTTTCACTCACCAGATTGTCTAGCCATTCACTTGCAACAGTATAAGCCAGTGTGACGCTTGGGGGCGTTAGCTAGCCAGCTATTTTCAGTGATGAATTTATGTAGAATAAAAAAAAAGGTTCTGCTGTTTTATGTTTGTGTGGAGGCTGCTAAATTTTGTCAGTGTTTTACTACATTTAGATAATTCAGAATTTTTTCAAAGTTGATTTGAATGTATTTAACATGGATGAGTCAAGACAAAACACTGGTTAGCGTTTAGCGTCTGCATTGCTGTTGCTTTTCTTACACTTTTACTGATTATGGACAGATTATTAACAGATGATTTTTCAGTTGGTCTAAAAAATGAGAGCGAGGTTGAACATGACCAAAGGTAGAGCCGGGGCCTGTGAAGAAACATCTGCAGGAGCGATAATAATAATAATAATAATAAAAAAATAATAGCACAGTATTATTTTTGTAACGTTTAAAATCATGTATAGTACTGTGTAAAAATCATTTGTCTGGGTAGTGAGTGTGTTTTTGCACTTTAAAGATATTACACAGCGAAAGTGTATGGATTGCAAACATTCATTTCTTATTCTGTGTTATCTTGTGAGCTAGTTAGAACAACACAGGTTTGGTTCTTTCTCCTTGATGCCCCCAGAAAGGTGTAATAAACCTTTTTGATTTAAAGGAGGATTGATTAGCCAAACCAGCTATTGGATTATGACAGTTAATACTGGTCTTCTTCAAGGAGAGGTTTGGAAATGGTAAAATAACCACATTGACGTCCATAAAGTAAATATTTTTGTATAAATATTTTTTGTTTTTACTGTAATAATAGTGTTTATCTGTGCGAATAAGTGCTTACTACCCAGATAAGTAGCATTTTAATAATTTTCCCAGATGCTTTTGCATAGTACTATATATGAGTAACAATGGAGTTTATATGGGACATTGTGTTCAAAAGGTCTAGACCAGGGGTCGCAACCCAAAGAGCCATTTTGTTCTTTCAACCCAAATCAAACCACCTTGGGAGCCGCCATATTTTATGTCCATTTTACCATCTTGGCTGTAAATATGTCTCAGTATGTGCTGATGTGCTAGTATAGGCTAAAACATATAAACAAAAGCACAGACTTGCTCTGCTCTGCTTTAAGCTTTAGCTCAGCTACAGCCGTACTTCTCGCATCTCCGGCAGGAAACTTTTCCTCAAAAGTGGACAGTTTCTTGTAAAATGTCTCTCAACGTTTGACTTTTTATGAGGCTGACTTTTTTAGTGTTTGACAGTTTCTTGTTGCAGATTAAATATCAGGAAACCAGCTGGACTGATAACGCAAATAAGTCCATTTGTCTCCAAATTATCGACATTCGTCTTAAATCTCTCTCTTTGCCGTTGCGTTAGCTACTAGCTAGGCAAGATCGTTGTCTCCGTTGTCTGCATTGCTGTGGTGACCAGCAGTCTGCACACCAACCTTCAGGGTCAAAGGTTGATGAATTAGCAGTTGTAGGTTGCATTAACTTCAGTGTTTAAGACCATTTGGTCCGAAAACTGTGTTAGAACGATCAGCAGAGCCTTATTTTACTGTAAAGGAGGATTATTTTATTTTTACCTACAAATCTAATTCTGCTGTGGAGCCGCAACAGGACAGCAAAAGAGCCGCATGTTGCCGACCCCTGGACTCTACAATAACAGATTGTTTTAATCTCTCAAATTGTCTCCTGATAAAATAGACCCTTTGTCTGTATTTTTCTATGTCTTTCAGAGGTCAACTTTAAACAGTCATCACTTTGCTTCTGGCTGCATTGTCATAAAAAAATAAAGATTGTGAGAGTTACAGTTTTTATAGAAGTCCAAAAAGTCAATATTTCACCATGTAGAAGTGCTTCCGTAGACCACCACATGTTATAAGTTTGTCTGTGTGTAATCTATCCATTGTTTTGTTTATTTTCATTATTCTAGGCCTGTAACAGCAGCCGTAGGGACACTGGCACATTTACCTTTGGGTTGATTCATGTGTGTTGTCACTGTTATTATAAATAACAGTTAAAAAAGAGGTCAGGGGAAAAAAGGTCACATTTACTGTAGTGTGGAAAAGGCTTCGTTTTCTTCATCAGATGCGTTTTGCTTTCTTCAGCGTTCAAAATACTGTTCAGGCTAAAACTGAGATTACAGTTCAGTATCAAATTATATGGAAAAATATATTATGGAGATTGTTTGGCCTTTCCATCTGTCTGGCAGTGTTTGGCTCATTGAAACTGTTGCCACAGGATTTCTGGGTAATTTCACCCTCTCACCAGCAGGCTACAGCAATCTGTACACGGTGCTTATGATGCTGATGAGCCTCTCTGTTTACTCTCATTCCCCTCTCTCTGGTCATTATCACACCATGACTGTGAGACATGATACACACACATATGGTGTCACATCATTAGCAGCCTGTGCAGTCGTGGCCCTGCTCACGGCCCGTCTATGTTTAGACCTGTGCTTTAAGACCTGCGGTTGCGTCACAGTGCTGTGGGTGCTTCTTAATTGGAGTCCTGTGGGAGATCTGATCGCTAGGTGATCAGTCACTTATTCGCCCACCCCTCCGTCAGCATTTCGGCCCTTTTCCCTTCATCGCCCTCAGGGAGAAAGCCATAGGACCTGTTACTTTCCACTCTTGCAGGAAATTGGTCAACTCAATCTGTGGTGGAATATGATCTCAGTGGCTGCATTCGCAAAACACCTCGGGCCACTGGTGTATGCATAATCACGGTTTGGGAATATAGAGTTTTAAACAGCTTTATGTTCCATAAAAGCATGTTTGTCTCATTTCAGGTGCAAATCTACGAGCTGGAGGAGCACAAGATTGAAACATGGAGAGGTAAACAGCCATCTCAAGAGCTCTATTGGTCAAGAGACGTCCTGCCTGAGTGCACTGAATGACTCTTTGTGGTTTTTCTGTCAACAGAGCTCTATTTACAAGAAACATTTAAACCATTAGTCAACATATCACCGGATGCAAGGTAGGCCATTTTGGCAGACTCTTGTTTTTTTTTTTTCCTTATCTTTTTGGTTGAAAGTTATCTGCTGATATGACCTTTTGATGTTGGTGATAGGTAGGGCAGAATGATTTCAGGAAAATATTAAATTACATTTTTTCTGACCAATATTGCGATTGTGATTTAAATGCAGTTATGTTCTGTAAACTAGACTCCAAGCCTTTATTTCTCCAAGAAGACCAGCACATGCATTTTTTTATGACTTGATGCTGGAACGCTGAATGTAGTGTGCTTAAGATATGATGTGATGACAGTTTAATAATAGGGTGTAATAGAATGTGTGGCTGTTATTTGGAAATTGTGTTGAAAATGAAATGGCAGTTTCAGCTTGTGCGGTCACTGTTTGCCTTTGCACCTGATTCAGTGTTAGGGACAAAGTGTTTAATGGAATGAATGTCTTTAGGATGGATGGATAGAAATGAGGAGCAGAGAGCTACAGAGAGTTACCACTACTGAGTATAAAGGCTGACACAAATTAAAAAAGAAAAAAGATGATATAAAGAAAAAAGGAAAGAAAAAAGACAGACCCAAATAAGAAAAGAAAGAAAGACAGAAAGAAATGAGGAGGAGAGAGCCACACACAGAGAGAAAGAGAGTTACAACTACTGAGTATCAAGGCTGACACAAATTTTAAAAGAAAAAAAGAAAGGAAAGACAGAAAGGAAGGCCTGACTGACGGACTGTAGTGATCCCAGAGGGAAATTGCAGTGTTACAGTAGCGAGACATGTAATTGCACATAAACTTACATAAACTACGCAGAACATAAAAAATAGAAATAAAAATAGACATAATTTAAAGTATAAGAGAGTAGAAATAAAAGTATATCTATTTGCATATTTACATGGCATATAAGACTAAAAATGATAATGATTTCTAAAGGAAAAAAAGGTGGTCCAAAAAAGAATATACTGATAGTTGGTTATTTGTGTGAATTAATCAACTAATTATCGATTATTGGCTTAAATGAGGCCTTTAATTTTTTTAAAGCTGTAATAATAAAATATTTGACAGTGTTCTGAAAAACTGAGGTGCTGTTCACCTCAAGAGCTAAAGTGCCACTGTGGGGGGGGGGAAATAAACCTTTGTTCAAGCCTGTCCATAATTTTTAGCTACAGAAGTTAATAAGCAGTAGCTAAAAATGAGTGATGATGATGATAATAATAATAATAATAATAATAATAATAATAATAATAATAAATATGTAGAATAACTATAGCTCTGCATGCTGCTGAGAGGGGCACTCGTATTTTTTTTTTTTCATATGAAAACTATATTTACAAAATAAGTTGCATTTTAAGCTAATTAAGCAGATGTACGTAGTGAGCTGGGTAACATATGTGAGTCTCTAGTAGAACGAGCTGCTGAATGTTCAGTGGGTTTTTTTAAATGGCTGTTAAAGACTTCTAATTAACAGAAACTGGTACAGCTTAAGACTCAGTTATGCTCAACATTAAATACACATTCAGAAGGAGACTTCTGTCCATATCTGTGTTCATTTTGTCCGTATTTTTGCACGTTCTCTGAAAGCTTAGACATACAGATGAAACAGAGCAGTACCAAAGCAGAACCCGTGGGGGCAGCGTAGCTAATAGTTTACGCGAGACATAATGTCAGCTTCTCTAATTGGTAATATAAGCAAAAAGAATTCTCCATCCGCATGTTGGAGTATTTATTGGCCTCGCAGACACCGCAGTCTACACTGGAGCCTCTTTCGTCTCTTCCGTAGTTGGTACATTATTACGACCTTCTCCACCATTGTCATGTTTGTTGTCAGAAACTTTTGGCTCTGGTCTGCCCTCTAGTGGATGTTATGTTTAACATCCATGCCAGTGTAAAGAATGCATGGAGGTATGTGGGCAGTGCTGGTTACATAGTTTGAAGCTGACCTTTTTTGTATGTAAAAGGAGAATACATGAGCCTTTAGCATATTCCACTGACCAACGTTAGAAATGTAACATGATGAGCTTTGGTGATGTTTGTAAGGGTAAAGTTAGCTCATTCTGTCAAACCACTAGTGACCTCGCGCGTCCTCAGGGAGTATTCAGGTCTACCAGAACACCAGCATGGAGGGAAGTTCCTTACTGTTTAATGGCCGCTCTGCTGCTTCAGAATCAACACCAGCGTGTTTTCTTTTCCAGTGTTTTAAGTTAACATTGTATTTCCATGAGTCAGACTTGTATATCGTCTCTGTTGGAGCAAAACCTTGTTTCTCCATTTAAACATACCAGCTTCCCTTAACCGTGTTAAAGGTTTGTGTTCCACATTTGTAGACGTATGTTTTTTTTTCTATAGTGATATGTTGTCTCTTACCTTTACTTCTTTTTTTAACTGTCAGCCGTAATTGTTCTTTTTCTTTCTTTAATCTGCCCCATATGTGCGACACTAAGTGAATTTATTTGAATAAGAGCATCATGTTCCCAACACCAGGAGTGCAGTGTAAAAGGGCTCCTTCACAGAAAGTTTAAATGTTCTCTACCATCAGCTTCAGCACACAGATTAAGCCAGATGTGATTTCACTGCTAAAGGCAAAAGTTTCCGTTTCCCATCACAGATGTTGCGTTCACACCGGCAGCGTCTTGTCGCCCAAGTCGCTGATCGCTCATCGTCTGTGGCCGTTTCTGAACTGACCGTTGGTTGCCATGGTTTCACTGATGCCAAGCACAAATCAAATGCATTCCCGCTAAAAATGAAAATCCTGGTGAGAAATCGCTTGTGTGCTTATTTTTATTTAATCCCGGTGTCCGTGCAGTCAGATTACTGCCTATTTGTGGCGAAAGCACTGCCACCATTATTCCATCTCATAGGAACAATTGTCTAGGAACCAAAAAGGAGTGCACCATTTCACAGTGGCAGAGACAAAGAGTGTACTACACTGCTCAATGCTAAATTCCTATTGGTAATCACCATAGCTGTGTCCCAATTTAGGGGCAGCATCCTTTGAAGGACGTGGTCTGTGAAGGCATGTTCTTTGAAGGCTGTGTAGACCCGCCAAGGCTGGACTGAAATGAGAAGATCTGCTCTGTGGCAGATTTCCTGTTTGCGTCACAGCACCACTGTTACCGGCCTTACCGTCGCGTTACTAAACGCCGCTCCTGTCAAGTTCTTTTAAAGTTCTTTAATGATGGAGCCAAACTTTGATTTTTGTTTTATTTTTTCATTTAGTAGAGCTGGAGATGCTTCACCGCCGGCTACTGATGAGACTGGGTTTTTTTAACATTTGCATCCTTAGCTGTTCGGCTAGTTTAAGCCCAATACTTACATTTAAAGTGTCTCCTCAGCCGCCGTTCGCTCCTCTGCTGGTGCCGCCATGTTCTCGAATCCTCGCTGGCACGCAGTGAACCTTGGGACATGTTGGCTCGTGAAGGATCCATTTGTTGCCATGGAAAAGGGCATTTTTCTCGCCTAGTCGTGCCGCTGTTACACAATCGGCCTTCAAATGCAGCCTCCGAAGGATGCAGCCCCTGAATTGGGACACAGCTCATGTTGGTAAGCTCATCAGTTAAACTCCACTCAGCTTTTTTGCGTCGCTGACTCTGCCCACTTCATGTCACCATCTTTCGTGCCACCTCGTTAAAAATGAATGAACAAGGCGTTGGCTGCCTTGTTGCATCCTGTCGCTGCCGGTGTGAAGCCAGGGTTACTGGCGTCTGCATGGAAAATCGAATACGTACAGTAAACTTGTTGGAAATAAATAGAATAGCCGTCAGACTGCGGTAAAGATTTGGAAAAGAGGAACTAAATTCACATCCCGTTTTTCCACAAACTGTCACTGGAGACACAAGAAGAGAAGACTCTGTCAGCGTTTCTGCTGCAGAACAGAAGCTTCACCTCCTGTGTTTGCAGTCCATTCAGTTTTAATGAACTTTATCCAGCCTCGTTTGGTTAAACAGTCACACTCGTAACTGATGGCACATTTCAGGTTCTGTTCTATCACTGCTCTCCTCTTGGAGGTGTGTATTTAAATGTGTGAGTGTGTGTTTGTGTTGAGCAGCTCCTAGATTTCCCGCAGGAGCCCTCCAGCTCTCTCGTATTTTTATCTCTTCTCTCTGCCGCACGACTCGCCCATATTTCAGTGCTCTAAATAATTCAGTGAGCACACTCTAAAAAGAGTAATGGACAAGACTCCCGAGCGCGCGCTCATCCCCAGGAGAAAGGAGCAGGTGGAAACTGATGCTGTTTTCAAGCCAGCTTGGCTCTTTCCCTTTTTCATGATTCAGATCAGGGTGGCTGATCCTGGATCAGTGCTGGAGTTCAGTGTGTCTTTGCTGTTTCACTGCAGTAGAATCCATAAGTGCTGACGCTGTTTTGTCTCTTTGTGTTCATGGCAGCATATTTGATGCCGTGTATTCGCTGATCAAGAACAAGATTCACCGCTTGCCCGTCATCGACCCCGTCAGTGGAAATGCACTTTATATCCTCACGCACAAGAGGATCCTCAAGTTCCTCCAGCTCTTTGTAAGTTTCGTCTTGGTTTTGTGTATTTCTCTGCAAGGCTGCTGCTTCGCCTGGTTTCAGTGAACATCTTCAGGGAGTGTTTTGACCAGGCGTTTATGAGGTCTGGCTTCTAGCCTGAGGGAAATACCATGTGCTTAATAGCGTGAAATTAGACAGCGCTGAACAGGCAGCTGTAGTATATTAAACAATAACCAGATGTTCATTTTGCGTTAATGAACAATTTAATTTAGTAAATAAGACACAAAAAATAACCAAATGTTTATTCTGCATTAATAAATTAAATTGAATCTGGTAATTAAGACACAAATAACAATGTTTATTTTGCCTTAATAAACAACATTGAATTTGATAAGTACGGCAAAAAACCCAAATGTTTATTTTGTGTTAATAAACAACATTGAATCTGATAATTAAGGTAAAAAAATAACCAAATGGATATTTTGCATTAATAAACAACATTTGAATTTGGACAGTAAAGCACAAAAACATAACCAGTTTTGTATTTTGTGTTAATAAACAACATTGAATTTAGTAAAAAAAAGACACAAAAAATAACCAAATGTTTATTTTGCACTAATAAACATTGCATTCAGTAAGTAAGGCATAAAAATAACCAAATGTTTAATTGGCACTACTAAACAACATTTGAATTTTGTATGTAAGGCACCTTGAATGAATAACAGATTCTCAAATGTACTATTAACTAGAGATTTTGGAGTTTGTGTAGTTTGGAATTCATGAATTATGTTTTAATTTGTAAATAAGTTATTTAACAGAACATGAAACCTACAACTGAAAATCTAAGCTGTGTGATTGTGCAACTTTGTACTGCAGGTGGACTGGTACTGCGATAAATAACATATTCCCCAGAAGCCACTAACATTCACATAGGGATCTTACACTGTCTACGTTCTGTAAATGAATGTTAAGCCTTTTGTGTTTGCTTGTTTTATTCGTACCCATATAAATATTGTTGCGATATTCAAATACTGTTTGTTTAGAAATATTCAAATACCCAGCCTTGATTGAACGTGTGCCTGGAAGCTAGATGGATCTTTCTGGAGGCAAGAATTCAGTCCTTTTTCATCCAAGATAAGCTGAAGTGTTTTGCAAAGAGCTGGTGAAAGTTAGTTTGAAGAGTCAGGGGTGAGGAGAGGAGAGTGAGGCTGCTGCAGAACGAGGCCAGTCGAGGCTCTGAAACACTTGTCCCTAAATAACTCTGCAGAAGGGATTAAAGTAATCTGTCTGATTGCTCTCTCCTCCACATCTTTACGCACTTCATCACCAGCTTTTGCAACAAATTTAGCAAAAAAACAAAAAACAAATAAGACTCGCTTTCAAGAGCCCTGTTTGATTGAACTTTAGGTTCCATTACGGTTCCGAATTTGAATGAGTCAGATGATGCTTTTAGATGATTGTGGAGTGCTGGAGATTAGATTGTGTTTCATATTTATTTGATAAAACACCAGCAAATTTTGGCATCACACATTAGTTGTGTCCTTTGACCCTTTCTAGCTGCTTTACACCCACTTGTGGTTTTGTGTGTCATCCTTGTGTCATTGGGTAGTCGGCATCATGCCCATATTAGGAACTCTTGAGGCCCAGTCCCATTTCTTCTTTTTACCCCTACCCCTTGTTTTGGAGTGTCACCCTAACCCCTTGGAACTGGGTTACAAGGGGTACTGGTTGAAATCTTCCCTACGAAATGGGACCCTTAAATAAAGAAGAGCATTACTTCATTAACAGGGTATTGTTAGGCTGATCTCCAGGTGACCTGGCCCGTCTTTAGTGATAGCAGAGGAGGGTAAAGTTCAGCTCCTCACTGCTGGGCTTTAGTTACATTTAGGGCATCATATGCCTTCAAAGAGGGGGCAATTATTTATCATCGCCCACCACTAATTCTTTAGTTGATATTCACCAGTTTCTTGTTCGAATTTTTTCCGTTCCACCTTAAATGGAGCAGCAGTTACATTCTGGCACTTTAGGCGTCAGAACTGCTGGACTATTTAAGGTGGAACGGCAAAGTTAGCTACCTAGCTACCGAGATGTTAGTATGTTATTAGCGATTTTTTTAATGCTTGTTATGAAGAAAAGGACCATAATGCACTGAAACAACATTAAACTAAGATAATACAGTGGTTATCGTCATTTTTAACAGAGAAAATTCTCACATTTGTGGGTTTCTTTGGTCTCTTGTTCAGCCATCTCGCCGATTTTTCTTTTTTTCTCATAACTCTCTGTTTGGAGTCTCTGAAAAACCTTTGTTTGGAGGGTCATGTAGCCCTAACACTTTGCCCTACCCCTCTATCTCAACAAGAATCAGGACACCCTACCGTGACATGAACATGCAAAACAGAGGGATTGGGCTGTGGTAAGTGGTAGGGTCGAGGGGTGAAATGGGATTGGGCCTTAGTCTAAGCTGGTTTTTATAATGAAAAAAATGAATGGCATTTTCAAAAATCAGAAATGATGGAAGGTGGTACATTTTGTTCTGTGTTTCGTTTTGTACAGCCCCCCCTCCAGTGTCACTGGATCCTCTTAATTACAAGGTTGTTTAACAGTCAAAATATAAATAAGTACATGCTACGAGCAAGCTAACACACAATGTTGCATGAAAGTAAGTTTACTATTAAGGCCCAATCCCATTTCACCCCTAACTCCTACCACTTAGCCCTAAGCTCTCTCTTTTGCACATTTCACGCCTAGGAGTAGGGTGTCATGATTTCTGTTGAGATAGAGGGGTAGGGCGAAGTGTTAGGGCTACATGGACCTCCAAACTGGTTTTTCAGAGACTACAAACACAATAATAGGAGAAAAAAGAAAAACAGGTGAGATGACTGAACAAGAGACCAAAGAAACCCACAAATGTGAGAATTTTCTCTGTTAAAAATGACGATAACCACTGTATTATCTTAGTTTAATGTCGTTTCAGTGTTTTATGGTCCTTCTCTTCATAACAAGCATACAAATTCAGTAATAGTTTGCTAATCTCTCCGTAGCTAGCTAACTTTGCCATTCCACCTTAAATAGTCCAGCAGTTCTGACGCCTGAAGTGCCAGAATGTAACTGCTGCTCCATTTAAGGTGGAACAGGAAATTTCGAAAGAGAAGCTGGTGAACATCTGACATCAGCTTCATATCACTGTAGAATTAGGGGTGGGTGATAATAAATAATTGCCCCCTCTTTGAAGGCATATGATGTAACTAAAGCCCAGCAGTGAGGAGCTGAACTTTACCCTCCTCTGCTGTCACTGCAGACTGGCGGGGTCGCCTACAGAGCAGCGCTAGTAGCTGTTAATGAAGTAATTATCTTTTTATTTGAGGGTCCCATTTCAGAGGGAAGATTTCAACCACTACCCCTTGTAACTCAGTTCTAAGGGGCAAAGTGACGCTCGAAAACAAGGGGTAGGGGTAAAAATAAGAAATGGGACTGGGCCCAAGGCTCAACACTACCTCCTCTGACTGCTACTGCCAAAACCAATTAACTACCACACAGCACAAAGCTGAGTGGTTTGTTTGGGGTGTTTTGGTGACATTGCCAGTCTTATATCAGTTCATTGCTTGCATGTAGCAATAATCGTATTGCTGCTCCTTCACGATCTTAGAATTGAGAGGATCAGGTGACATTCAGAGAAAATGTCCGTAGATGACTCTGTTCATTTTTGGCATAGAGAAAAACACTCCCTAAATTGGGCATAATGCTGGCTACAGAATGACAGCATGACTTCAGAGATGTATTTCTCGAGTGTGCAGTTATCAGAGTGTGTCAGACACACTAAGCGCACACTTACTGCATCTTTCCCCAAAGCGATATTGCTCTAAGTATATATCCCACATTTAATGAAGTTGGTAATGTTTTAGCATTGTTTTGGAAATATCAGCGAACATTTTAACGTCTAAAGCATACGCAAAAACAAGCCTGTCCCCGTAGACACCTGAAGCCCTGTTGTCCCTCCTCCTTTGGTGACGTCAACAACATGTGGCTGTTTAGAGACCTCAAGGGCGCTAGTTTTCTTGTGCAACAAACAGGCTATGCGTCTACTGTACCCAGTAAAATGTTGTGGATCATACTTACTGTTTTTATTTTTTTGTTCTCAGCTCAAAAGTCAGTTAATAAAGAAATACATTTTGAGCCACACCCTCTTCTTCTCCACCATGTTGGGACCTGTCCCACACTGTTAGAAATAAAGGTTCTGTTCAGGTACATTTTTCGTTCATTAAGGTACAAACAGTGTAAATGTTCCCTCAGAGCTACAACAGTGGTTTTAAGGTCTGATTGTGAACCTTAAATAAGTTGTTCCAGGTGAAAAGTTCGTATTTGTACCTTTTCATAACCGAATGTTTTAAAACAGAACAGTAAAATAAAAGCCTGGAGTCGAGACGGGGTGTGTGGAGTCAGTACAGCTTAGAACATATCATTTCAGTGGATTATGGTTCAGTTATGTTCCCTGACTGAAGGTACTGAGATGGACCCTTGAGGGTCCCACCCCAGAGACAAGAGGGGCACTGACCCAGTGACAGTTAACTATCTTTTTTTGCTGACATCAACAGTGCGGACATATAGGGCAAGAGAGCTTGAGCGCATTAGGCTTAAAAGCTGTTGGAATAGAAATAGGCTTTTGCAGCTTGGAATAGGCATTTCCTGTCTCACAAACATAGGTGGATGATATGACTATTGTTTTTGTGAGAATTTATGTCATATTAAGTCACAGTATGCTTTTCTGAGCAGATGGTCAATATCAGTAGTACTCAAATAAGTACTGGAAAGCATAATTAGTCCTGTTTCATTGGATTTAGTGGAGTACCATGTAGTAGACGGTTGTAAAATGCCACATAATCATTCTGTTCATAATTTTGGATGGTGCTTTATGAATGTGCCTCTGTTGGTTCTTTTTGTCTGTTCCATTTTATCAAAAATCAGAAAAAAGTTAATATCATGATTGATATTGTGTATGTTAGTATACTGGTATAGATTTTCATGCACCTCCACTGATACATACCTCTGCACACACAGTTTTAAGGAGTACTTGTGCACTTTTCCTAATTATCTGTCTCATAAGAGTCTATTTTTATGTTGTCGGTCCATTTCTGCTATTGCTTATACTGCCTTAGAGGTGGAATGATGGATGTGCTACATGGTGAATAACCTGTTTGTTAGAGTTCGCCCACAAACAGGGCTGCACAATATGGATAAAATACCATATTGCTCTTAAATTGCTCTATATTATGCTGCTACAAGGCTGTGATATGCCTTGCCATACATTAAAAACACATTAGTGAACACTACCCCACTGCACGGTTAGGCTTTTAAGCCCAACGCGCTCAAGCTGTCTTGCCCTTTATGAGCACACGATGTGTGGACCGCAGACCTTAGGCGTAAGGTAGAATGATATAGATGTGTGCACCTCTGGCGCCACCTAGCTGCAGCCATGCCACTATAGCTTTGTGCACTTGAGAATAAGTCTTTTATCTTTCTGGTTTCACTCCTGCTTACATCAGCTTTCAGAGGTGTCATTTTTATTATGCACTCTGTTCAGGTGTGTGAGATGCCAAAGCCTGCCTTTATGAAGCAGACGCTGGAGGAACTGGGCATCGGGACCTACAGCAACATCGCCTTCATCCACCCTGACACGCCTGTCATCAAAGCCCTGAGCATCTTCGTGGAGAGGAGGGTGTCCGCCCTTCCTGTGGTGGACGAGTCTGGTAAGGGCACCTGGGGGACAAATGAGGGGCTCCACTAGCATGAAATATCCACGAAATGTCCACTATCATGTTTAATAGTCACTAAGGATTAGTTCTAGTCATTTATAGTAAATATTCTAACGTAGCATCTCTGTTGTAATAATAAAACTTCTTCTAATAGTAATTCTGAATGTATTACTTTAGGGAAGATGGAGAGAATATGTTTTACTTAATGTATGTTAATGTGTGCATATATACACACACACACACACTAATTTTGCACTATTATTATGTTGGTCCATACATAATGAAATGTTTACACAGTGTGAAAGGGCAGCTCATGTTTTCAAATTTTGTTAATAAATAAATAAATAATGACACTGTTCTGTTTTATTTCTCAGTTTTTGGTTTTATAATTTTTTTCTCAGCGTAATTTAAAGTGCGTTTCTTGTCTTTTTATTCCACAGGAAAAGTTGTGGATATTTATTCCAAGTTTGATGTCATTGTGAGTACTTTCTTTTGCTTTTTTTTTCTGATTTAACCCATGAGTACGGTGGCTGACAAGACCCTATTCATAGTATAATTAAAAACACTTTGCAAATTCATAAACACACTGCAAACACAGAAAACACATTCATGAACATGACGACATCAGAGGTACATTTTACAAACGCACTGCAAATAAAGAAAACACAGGCAACTCTGCAACAGCCAGTCACAGTGCAACGGAAATGCTTCTGGAAGACTCAAAGGGGATGGAATATGATGGAAAATCACTGACAGAAGAAGAGAAGACCACAGACACTCGGACACTCACATCCCATGTTCATGGTTAACCTGGCTGGCTGGTTTGCTCTCTGATGTGTCATAGCTGCGATGTGGTAGTTTTTCTGATGTTACTAGTTAAAAGTTTACAGTTAGACTGTACAGCTAAGTCCTATTACGACACAGTGATGTCTGTAATTTGCTCAAATAAAAGTTAACTTAATTGTACCGCTGAATGTTGGTGCTGTATAGAATTTAAAAGTCCTCCAGAAACATCTTTGTTGTGTTGTGACTGGCTTATCTGCATTTCTGAAGTTGCATGTGTTTCTGTTTTTGCAGCTCATTTATGAAATGCAGCATTGGTGTCATTTTGATGGTGTTTTCTTGGTTGCAGATCGTTTTTTATTTGCTGTTTGTTGGGTCTTCTCGGCCACCGTGCATGAGTAGCTGAAAGCTATGTAACCTCATACTCTATATCTCTGGATCTCTGCAGAATCTTGCTGCTGAAAAGACCTACAATAATCTGGACATTAGTGTCACTCAGGCTCTCATGCATCGCTCCCAGTACTTTGAGGGCGTGATGAAGTGCAACAGACTGGAGACTCTGGAGACTATAGTGGACAGGATAGTCAAAGCTGAGGTGAGCTGGCCGTCACAGACACACATGCACAGTGTTGTACTGCATAATTAACGCTAAGCGCCTGTGTGTTACAGACACACACTCACAGGTGCAGTTAGTGGTTTTGTGCATATTCTGTTGTCATTGCAGCTTCAGTTGCATTGATTTTGTAACTTCAGAATAAATTATAATTGGTTATAATTCACTAAATTGGGAGACAAAATGGTTGTTGCTTTTATTTTCTATTATTTGTGTTTAGTGTATTTTTAAAATAGATCTGGATGATACCAAAGGAATCAAATCAAACTGGTATTGCGGAGAAGTTTGAGATTTCACAATACCTTCAATGGTAGAGATGCACTGTTAGGGGAATTGTGATTCAGTGCCAGTATTCAATATTTTTATGTGTATCTGCCGATGGCAACACTGATACATAAACATTTATAAAATGTAGAAATTAAGGACTTTTGCAAGACAGCCCAGAGTCACCTAAACATGCTGCTCACAAAAAAGTATGTAATCAAATATAAGATTAAAATATCGTCCAGATTTAAACAGCTATTCAGTAATTTTTATTTTCTTTTGCTGATTCCGATGTTGGTTATTGAATAGTTTCCTAAAGAATCACATAAATCAAATCGTTACCATATGCATTGCCAACTTAACCTTTCACTGTGAATGCTCTTCAGGGTTGTAATAGTAAAATAAAACTATTACTAAAACAAAAACAAAAAGTGCAAAGATGTGCTTGCTAGCTGTAATAGAAATAAAATGACCATTTTCAAGAATACAAAAACTAAATCAATAATAATATTAGCTGCAAAACTAACTAAAACCAAATAGAACTGAGTAAAAACCTTCAGTTTTCATTTTTTCAGTGCATGTATGAGAGTTTAGACGTGAATCTCTAAAGAAAAGCTCAGTCCTGGATTTGCAGTCTTTGCTCCGAGACTATGGAACATTCTACCTCCCACTATTCGCCAAGCACCTTCAATCGCTGTTTTTAAATCAAGACTAAAGACATATTTATACAAACTCGCATTTTTTTGTCTTTTTTTTTTACTAATGTTTTTTATTTTGCTTTTACTCTTTTACCTCTTTTATTCATTTATTTTTCTTCCCTATTTTATGTAACTTATGTTATTATAAATCTCCTCTCTGCTATTAAAAATCCACCCCTCACCCAGCTTGAAAACTGCATAACAGAAATTAAAGCATGGATGAAGCACAACTTTGCTCATGTTAAATAGTGACAAAACAGAACTTATTCTTATAGGATCCAAATCAGCTCTCTCTAAAACTTCTCCTTTCTCTCTTTCCATCGACAATGTAACTCTGTCCCCTTCCCCTCTGGTATGAAATCTGGGCATTCTCCTTGACTCAACTCTCATTCAGTGCACACATCAACTCTGTAGTTAAAACCTCTTTTTTCCATCTCCGTAACATTTGCAAAAATTCGATCGTCGCTCTCTCAGTCTGCTGCAGAAACCCTTATTCATGCATTCATTTCTAGTCGCCTGGACTGTTGTAACTCTCTACTTGCTGGTATTAACTCCTCCCATTTATGCAAACTCCAGATGGTACAGAGCTCTGCTGCTCGCCTCCTCACCCTGCACCTGTGCACATCAGCATATTGCACCCATCCTGCAACATCTCCACTGGCTTCCTGTGAAATACCGCATACAATTCAAAATTCTTCTCCTCACATACAGAGCTGTACATAACCTTGCTCCTTCTTACCTCTCTGATCTACTTACTCCCTACAAACCAACTCGCACTCTCAGGTCTTCCTCTGCTGGTTTACTCACTGTCCCACCTTCCAAACTACATGGGTACGGTGATCATGCTTTCTCTAGGCTGGTTCCCGACTCTGGAACTCTCTCCCCTCACATATTCAACAGGCCAACTCTGTCTCCACTTTTGAATCTAAACTTAAAACTTATCTCTTTTCTATTACTTATAACTGTTCTCAATCCTAAACCAGCCCTTTGCCAAGTCCTGCTATGTTTTGCTTGTGATGTTATGACTGTGCTTCATGTTCTCATGTTTGTCTTTACTGTCCTGTATTTCGAAAACCTGTAAGCGTCTTTGAGTTCTTGAAAAGCGCTATATAAGTATAATGTATTATTATTGTTATTATTTTTATATTTTAATCTCTTACTTGTGTTGTTTATTGTGTGCTGATTTGATGTACAGCACTTTGGTCAACACAAGTTGTTTTAAGAGTGCTTTATAAATAAAACTTACTTACTGAGCTTAGTCTACTGTTTAATTTTATTCTACTCTTTTCTAATTTTATTCTACTGTTATCAAATATCTTCATTCAGAGCATTTATTATAATTTAAAAAAACTAAAACTGAAGCTAAAACTAAACTAAAGCGGTTACTTTTCAGCAAATAAAAACAAAACAAAATATTACTAATGCACTCTCAAAACTAACAAACTAAACTGCAGTCGACACAAAATGAAAACGAAATGAAAATGACTCATCAAAATTTCAAGCCTATAATACCCTGATGCTTATATAAACACTGTATTAACTATAATAACTGGTGCTCATGTTAACATCTGAATACTGTAGAAAGTAATTGTCAGAGAAACTCATTAAGGGTCCTAATCCCTCCCTTGTGTCCCCCACCAGGTGCACAGGCTGGTGGTGGTGGACGAGAACGCCTGCATCGTGGGCATCGTGTCCCTGTCGGACATCCTGCAGGCCCTGGTGCTCACTCCAGCAGGTATAGACGCTCTGCATTGCTAAAGCTCCTCTCTGTTCCTGGACCACCCTGCCCTCCCACTCCCTCCCCCACCATATACAGGTACTGCCCTCCAGCCACTGCTCTCCAGGCTTTGAATCGCTGCACGGCCGTCACTACAGGCACCCTGCTGCTGCGTGTGTGTGAGGTTTTGGGGTTCTTCAGTCACCGGGTGTGCACTGACATTGATGTGGTGTGTTTTGGTTTTGTCAGTAGGGCTGCACAATATATGTTGTTAAATCATTATCGCAGTATTGGCCTGTGCTGTACTCATATTGCAGAAGGCTCCAGTATGCAAACAAGATCTTTAACAAAGCATGTGTGATAAATTTCCAGGCTAATGACGTTTTCACTTCAAATCAAGGATTCACTACTGTGTTTTTAATGTATTGCAAGGCATATCACAGCCTTGTAGCAGCATAATATAGAGCAGTATGGTATTTTGTCCATATTGTGCAGCCCTGTTTGAGTGATCTCTAATAAATGATTTTATCAAACAATCCTTTATATAAATGACTGTCAGGGATGCTGTTCTCATGCAAATGGGAGTTTGCCTGTGTGTGTGTGTCTGTGTGTGTGCAGGTGTCTGTGTCTGTCTGTGTGTGTGTGTGTGTGTGTTTGTGGTTTCAACACAAGATGATGATTAATGAGCTGAGTTGGCTCAGCCATTTCTCCAGACACTTGACATGCAGTTCCTCCTCCTCCAGAGGTGTTCATCCTGATGGATGGTGTGTGTCTTCTCTCCTGTCTGCACTCGCTTCCAGCAGCACACTGTGTACTCTCAACACACACACACACACACACACACACACACACACACTTGTTTTCATATGATGGCACGATGTGGGGTCATATGTGTATGCCATGTGTGTATTATCCTGTGTGTGTGTGTGTGTGTGTGTGTGTGTGTGTGTATGTATGTATGTATATACACACGCGCACACACACACACACACACACACACACACACACACACACACACACACACTTTATTGTATCAGAGGGTGTTTGAGGGAAATATCAGACCACCCATCCAAAAGCTGAAGCGGAGGTGGACAATGCAACATGACAATGACCGATGTAGAGTATGCACAGTTTACACAGTAAATATATATATATATATATATATATATATATATATATATATATATATATATATATATTATGTGAACAAAAATTAGGACACCCCATAAATATTTACTTCTTTATTAAGAAATATGGACATAATAGATAAAGGTGATGTAATTGCCAAAAAAGTGACAGTTTTACTTTTGCGTTGTTTAACAGAAAAATAAAAAAAATTCCAGTTCCTACTGAGGAAAAGTTAGGACACCCTGTGACCTAATAGCTGGTAATTTCCCACTTTGGCTGAAATAACCTTAATTAGACATTTCCTATAACAGTCTATCAGTCTCTAACATCGACTGGGAGAAAGTTTTTCCCGCTCCTTCATGCATTATTCTTTCAGCTGTGTGATGTCTGAGGGGTTTCTTGCATGCACAGCCTGTTTCAAATCACCCCACAGCATCTCGGTAGTATTAAGATCTGGGCTTTGACTTGGCCATTCCAGAACTCTCCATGTCTTTCTTTTGAGCCACTCCTTGGTGGATTTACTGTGTAAACTGTGCTTACTCTACATCGGTCATTGTCATGTTGCATCGTCCACCTCCGCTTCAGCTTCAGTTTTTGGATGGGTGGTCTGACATTCCCTCAAACACCCTCTGATACAATAAAGAATTCATACTGGATTCAGTGATGGAGAGCTTGCCAGGCCCTGCTGCAGCAAAGTAGCCCCAAACCATGACACTGCCACCTCCATGCTTCACGGTTGCTGTGACGTTCTTGTGCTCTAATGCTGTGTTTGGTTTGTGGCAAACATATCTTCTGTTACTGTGCCAGATAACTCAACTTTGGATTCATCTGTCCAAAGCACATTGTTCCAGAGGTCCTGGTCCTTGTGTAGGTGTTCTTAGACAAGCTTTTGTTTCTTTCTGATGGTAGATGCAAGTACTTTGACATGAACTGTGGCAAGAGCTACCTGTAGGTCCCGTGATGACATTTTAGGATTGTTGGAGACTTCTTCATGCGTCTTCCGGTCTGCTTCTGGGCTGAACTTGCTAGGATGGCCTGATCTGGCCATGTTGGCAGTTGTTTTAAATGTTCTCCACTTGTAAATTATTTTCCAGACTGGAATGGCTGATGTCTAATTGTTTTGATATCTTTTTAAACCCCTTCCTAGACTCATATGTATCTACAGCCTCAGAGAACTCTTTGGATCTTGCCGTGGTGATCTCGCTCACTTCAACAATCAAGAGCAAACCAAATTGAATGTCTGAGGTTTAAATAAGACAGCCTCCTTCAAAATCCTTTCTAGCAGTGTTCTAATCATTTGCAGCTGATGTGGTGCACCTGATTCTAATTTTAGGCATTTTAAGTAGCAATTACTGCTTACTACTTAATACTGCTTACTAATTATTTTGCAAATACATTTCTTACGTTTTATTTGTTTAGTTACATTACCTCCATCTCCTAATATTGTTAAATTAAGATCAAATGTCCATATGTTTAAAATGTTAAAGACCAAGGTTTTCGTGATGGTATATATGATTGGAAGTAGCTATGTTTCATATGTATTATATATGCAGTATTATGCAAAAGTCAGAGACCACCCTTTATTTAATTACTTTCCACTTAAAACAGTGTTGAAGTAGTAGTAAGTAAGTAAAGTTTATTTATATAGCGCTTTTTACAACAGGTGTTGTCACAAAGCAGCTTTACAAGGAAATCAGCATTACAGAAAGAAATCCGGGTCCAAGCCCAGTGGCGACAGTGGCAAAGGAAAAACTCCCTAGGAACAGGAAGAAACCTTGAGAGGAACCAAGACTCAGAAGGGGAACCCATCCTCCTCTGGTCGACACCGGATAGTAAACATTGTTAGTACAAGCTATTCATTTTATAGGAGATACTTCAGAGGAGATTATACATTATTATAGATAATCTATTTAATCCATTAACATAAGGAAATAGAAATGTAAAAGGAAAATAAGTGAAAAACCAAGTTTCCAAAACTAGAAAAAATATTTAAACGTATTGAGAAAATAGGACCTGAGTTAGACACCAAAACTGCCCCCATCAGATAAACAGCACTTAAAGCTTTCATCTCTGAGAGAGAGGAGAAAATCAAGCTGCTTCAGATCTGAAAACATCCACAGGTGTTTCTGTCCATCCTTCCACTGTGAGAAGACGACTCAGCGCTGTGGGTCTGAAAGGATGTGTAGCTGATCAAGAAGAACCTCACTGAGAAAAGGAGACGGACACATCAAACAAAGAAGCTGAACGATGGACTGACCACCCCAGAGTCCAGACCTCAACATCACTGAATGTGTTTCTGAACTTCTAAGAAATTAGTTAAATGATGAGTCTCTGTCTTTTGCATGTATGTAATTTATATCTGTAAACCAAAACCTAACTCTACTATTGGGCTCAGTAACCAGAAATAACTATTTTTATTCTGTCAGAGAAGAACAGGATGAATTTATTGGTGCATATGTTACAGGATAGCCTCATTTTTATTATGCTCAGATTTTTATTAATATTCTTTTTCTCCTGAAAAACGTGTTGTGGAGAAGAGACCGTAAGTCCTAGAGACACCAAACTTGGTGGGTAGGTGTAGTTTGTGTGCGTCTCGCCAGGCAACAAAATTACCGTGGTTGGCCAAAGGGGGGCGCTATAGAGCAATAAAACACATTTTGCTTCATAACTCCTAAAGCAAAAGATGTAGAGACAAAATTCTTTTTGTCCTGATTCTTTGGGTCAAAACAAACAACTGTGCAATTTAGACCATATAGCTCCGCCCACTTAGTTTTTTTTGCTAATTTGCATAATATGCAAAAAGCTTCTTTTGCAAACTAGTCCTAGGTTTTTTGATCATTAACTGTTTGAAAAACATACTTTCCGAACTAGTCTCTGGATTTTGATATACGTTTTTGAAATTAGTCTAGAAATACTCACTGGCCTCTCAAGGTAAATAATCATCAAAAAAGTGTTGAATTTTTCACTTAACGTGGTGTTGCTCTGTCAATTCATCACTGTGGCCATGGCATTGCTAGCTTGATTTGCTATAATTCATCAGTCTTTGGTCCTATCATCTCAAAACTTTGAATATCATTATATTTTGTATTAATATCATTAAAAATTCTATTACAATGTTATTATGAAGTCTACAGACAAGCAAGTGGTGCCATTTGATTCAGTTCATTGACCTGAATAACTTTTTCAATTACATGTTTTGTCAGCAGTTTCGCTCCTTGTCTGGTATTTTGGCTTAAATTTGTTTGGCGCACTACTTTTCACCATGGTTGCCTATTAGGCTTAATTGGGCTAATGTGTGCTTGGACCCGCTCATTGACGCTTGCGGCTGTATTTTTTGTATTGTTTTCTTACAAAGTGTGGACATTCTCAAACACACACACACACACACACACACACACACTAAAATCCTGCCTGTGAGTAGGTTGTCCTCTATCAGTATTCTGGGTGCTACACTAGACTGGACGTTGACTGAGTGTCCTTCTTCACCTATAGACCCCTACATGGTCAGAGATGTCACAGGGTGCATCTTGTTAACTCTGAATGCCTTGCGCTGAATGTGAATCAGCAAGAGTTATGAATTTTAACCAGCAGATGTGTTGCTGTCAAAGCTGCAAATGGTATGCATGGATCAGAGGCGTCTGCAAATGCTTAGAAGTTCAGGAGCTTCGTGAGAGCAGCCGGGGTACTTTTAATTAGATGCAGATTTTGAGCTTGTGACTCTTTACTTAGCTTCTGCTTCCGGCTGTAGACTGATAGAGGTGTGGACATGGCATCAGCCATCTGTTCTGTTCTTATCTATTATATCTAAAACAGAAATGCTCTTTAGGGTTTATTCATTTTGAGGGATTCCTGGGAACAAAGTACAAGTCATTATGAGACAAATGTTAGTATCAAAGGAAAACTGTTCATTTATGGGTGGTGCTTTGCCCTTCATTATCCATTTGATCCACAAAACAGCCATGACAGATTGGCAAACAGCCCCAGTGCCAAGAAGGAGGCATTAGGACGGCATGACCTTTAATTATTTGGACAGTCTAATTAGCATGTAGCCCACTGCGGTGACTCATTAGTTTGCAAGCAGTCCATCAAGGTTAGAAGCTGGTGTCCTCTGAAATGCATCATTCTGGCGCTTCACCGTCTGTGTGTTCATCAGCTATTATTATATGTAATACTAACAAGTGATATTCTTTTTTTATAATCCGGTTTATTCAGAATGAGGCAAGTGTGATGCCTTTGTGTTTGGGGTACTACAGTCCAGAGTGTGGTCACTAATTACATATTGCTAGTTAAGGACTGGCCGCTGTCTAAAATGTTCTCTAGAATGATCAGTAGTAATGCCATAACCACTCAAATTCCCAAGTTAATTACATCCTGAGCTTTTTTTAATTCAGTAATATTATGGAAAGTTGTGCAAACGGAGTGAGTTATTCATTTATAATAGTGAGGAATGGACCTGTGGACTGGGGGCCCAGGGAGTTTAGGATCCTTTCAATTTGAAAGGAAAGACCAGAAGTATTTCTCCAGTGATTGAGTGTGTTTACATGCACTAAATAATCCGATAACAGCAGAAAATCAGATTTTGTCAGTAATCCGATCAATGTGTTCACATGCACTTAAGTTATGAGATAATGGGAAACTCCGGGTCTGCAAGAGTCAGACATTAATCAGATTTCTGCTTTGCAACCAGCCAATAAACTCACAGAAGAAGACGTGACGTAAACGTAACGTAAAACTCAAACTTGATGCCGTGTCTTTTCTTTTCTTTCTCTAACATTGCGCCACTTTACCTGAAAATATGAACATACATCATCTAGAAGATGAAAAAAATAAAAAGCCTTCATTTCGTCAAGCATGTATTCGGTTTCAGCGTCGCTCCAAAAGTGTTTTGCTGCGTCTCGCAGCAACGCTACTCGCTTATTTCTGGTACCGCGGTCTGTTTTCACACATGCACAGACTGAGAAATCCGAACGAAATCAGAGTAAGAGTTTACATCACTGAGAAATCTGATTACTGAGCTAAAATCCAGCCTCTTTATCGGATTTCTTAATCGGATTTCTTTACCTTTCTCCAATCTAAGAAATAAGAGTATTCTGTTTACAGTGATGTAAATCTTTGATCTCGCCACAGACAGAGAGTCAGGAGACCCGGGTTTGCAGGAACGAGGGTTTTATTTGAAGAGCTCTGTCCAGTCTGCCACCAACCCTACTCTGAAAGGCCAGGGTGGACAGAGGGCTTTTAACTCTAAATGTCCCCACCCCCCAAGAGCATCATACCGAGCAGAGTGGAAGATTTGAATCCTGTTGTAAAACAACCACAGTTGTTGTCGTAACCCGAGGGCCCTGCTCCTGTCCAGGTAGTGTCATCAAATGCTGTTTTGGTTCAAACCACAAGAACAGTATGGAGGTGGCTTCTTAAACCCTTTAGCATTCATACTGTTTAACAATGAATAACAATTAAAATAAACAGAAAACTAGAAAGTAAATCAAAATAAAACAATTCCCAACGACGTGACCATTTGAATAATCAGATAACTGCAGTAATCAGATTAGTTTTTGAAGGTTTGCACAAGAATTACAAGGCAGATGATACAATATTTTTGTCCTTGAAGAAAACAAAGAATTAACTGAATGGATGTCACTGTTAGCATGCAGTGAAATGGGAGTCAAAACGGGTTACGATGGTTACATAAATGGTTTAACATATTCTTAAATGCTGTTTATGAGAATAACTTTTTATGTCTCGTTCCCATCACTTCCCACAAGATGGCAGAACTGTGAAAGTGTTCCTCAATGCAGTGATTCTCTTTCCCCAACTCTAAGAAGCCTATATTAGATGACCCATATCATGGAAAAACAAACTTTCTCTCGTTTGAAAGAGAATAGTGTGATATATAAACATTGTTGTTTCAAATATACATTCAGTCCCCAGACCTTACGTTCCATATATGGAAACCGCTCGTTCTGAATTCAGTATTTTTGTGATGCCATGAAAACCAGTGTACTTACATATATCTGTTAGCTCATGTCCCTGATTTTATTAAGTACAGTTCATCTTATCATGTATCAATTTTAAAATCAGATATTTCTGTTTACCTCTTAAAGGGAAACTCTGATTTTTTTTTTTTTAATCCTACAAAATTAAACTATTGAGATGTAAACAAAGTCATTCAGAGTGGTTTGGTGTGAAACTACTAGGACAAACTTAGTCACGACTAGTGGTGATGGGAACCAGATACCTCAAGAGTTTAATCTACTCCAGGTGGAGGGATACATGCAGGGCCTTGTGAGGCAAAATAGTCCCCAAAGATTTTTTTTTCCCAGATTTACCAATATATTACCATCATCTACATTACATATAGACACTCAGAAGACTTGTGTAGGTTCACTGGTGGTTTTGGATAGTAAATAAAATGTCTATATTTGTGTTGTAGTCATGGTGACCCCTGGTTCCTATCACCACCACTGTAAAGACATCTGAGTCTGTCAGTTTCTCTACACTGAAACATTTCCAATCAAACCACTCTGAATGACTTTGTCTCAAACAGTGAATTATTTGGAAATTTTGAAAAATTGGTGGAATTCCCCTTTAATCACTCAAAGTGTTGTGACTTTTGCTCGCCTTGAAAACGTCTTGAGTTTAATATAATTTCTCTCTCTCTCTCTCTCTCTCTCTCTCTCTCTCTCTCTCTCTCTCTCTCTAGGTCTGAACAGAAAGGAGAACGAGGCAGAGGCTGAGTGATGCAGGTTGGGGCTGCTAAGTTGTGTCATGCTGCTGGAAGTGGAGGCAGGAGGTGGGTGTGGAGCTGGAGCGGCCCGCTGCGGGGGGTGGGGGGCTGCCACAGGGGGTGCGAAGGGCGTGGGGGTGTGAACTGTAATGCTGCTGAAAGCCGGACGTATGAACAGGCTACAGGGCGACAAGGTGGACCACCAGGGATTTCTTCCTTAAAGGGATTCTGCAATCCTTTACTCTCTTCTAAACCGCGTCACTGCAAGCGCACAAGCGTCACCTTTCACTACACGCAAAAACATCGCCATCTGGTGTTTGTTCTGTGTTTTACAAGCATCGCTAGACTTAGGACTGTACCATCATCACACTGAGGGGGGAGGCATGTCAAGTGGCAGAGCATTGAGAACTTTTTCCAAAGCAAAATGTCTCCATTTTCACGTTCTTTCTGTAGAAAGGAGCTTTGGCTTGTGGCTTTACTTGCACTTGCTAATGACATTCGATGTCGTCCCTTTGCTCAGTCTTCTGCAGTATCTTTTTTTTCTTTTTTTTTCTTTTTAATCCTCCCCTAAAAAATATCCCTGAATGAATTCACCTCCCTCTGTCAATGGTGCCTTCTGTCCACCAGTTGTCGCCCGTTATTGATGGCCGAGAGGACGCGAGAGCAGTGAATGTTCAAATGTATCAAAGCGAATGTGAGAGTGTCTGAAAACCAAAATTTCTTTGCATTTTGGATATGTTGTCACTGATTTTATGAAAGTTTATAATTTTCTTCCTTAGGAAGGTTCTTTTATTATTTCCATAAGTTTTTTTTTTTTCTCTTCTGAAATGATGCTGTAAACATAGATTCAAAGGTTTATTTATTCGTACTTTAATAGTTGTTTTAATTTTGACGGTAACGGTTTGAGTGGAATGGAAAGAGAGCGTTCTGCCCCTATGCATCAACAAGGTTCCGATGACTTGACGACGTTCAATGCAATTCAAAATTCAGCCGCTGCCTACAAGCCCTCATTTCCTCTCTCCAGTTAACGCGGAGGCATGCAACGAAACCTCTCATACTCTGTATCGATCGTACTGTACATAGGAAGAGCTACATGAGGCGTCTCCAAGTGCCAGAGAAAGGTCTATTTTTCTGTGTATTCAATGTATGAATCATGTTGTTTGTAATATTACAGATTTTTTTTTTTTTGCTCCGTTTTTTCGGTTCCTGTCATCTTTATCGTGGCTGTGTTGTCGATAAAGGTCACTGATGAAAGCGTTTTGTCCACTGAACAATGCACATCACTGGCATGAGTATGACACTACAGTGGTTCAACATTGTGTTTGTTTTTTGTTTTATTTTTTTTTTTTTCATTTTGCAGTTTGAAAAACAAAAATAATAAATCATGCTACTGAATCTTTGTATGATTTGTTTCATGTTCTGCGTCTTATTCAGTATTTCTGTATGTTTATTGCAATAAATCATTGTGTTCTTCTGAGTGGCCCATATATGATGTACACTTGCTTTCTAACAGGGTCATTCTACAGAAACCATAGGAGTCACTGGTGTTACTGATCCTCATCGGTGTTACACATAATAAAGGAACACCAGAGACATTTTTAATGAACAATGGATTTTACTAATTGGCTGCTACAGAGCATCAAACCACATGTTGTCAATCATGGAACATCCACTAAAATATGTAATTTAATCAGTTTATATTCAATTTATTCACAGTTACCTCAGAATAAAGTCGGTCACACCAGTGACTTCAGCTAAAAGCTTCATATGAAATCATGAGCTAAATGAGAAAATCTCTGATAACTGAAAGACACAGTGGACTCACCATGTGCTTTTCTTCATAGATCCTCAGAAAACAGGTAAAAGGAAGTCAAGTGACGTCATCAGTGTGACTTTCATTTCAAAATAAGAGATTTTTTGTTACGCGGTATCACCAGTGACACGACTCCTGGGGACCACAACTTTCATTATATATTTTATAATATTTATTTGGCATTTGTTTTCTTTGTCACTTAATTCATATATTTCCGTCATGTATAGATTATTGTAGTTAAAATAGCAGAAAATCATGTTTTTCTTCAAAATATGGCCTCAGCCTTTACACATGACTGTGAGGACGAGCTCTTCTGTGGTGCTTGGAATTCTATATAATTAATTTAAAAACCAATATTGCTAAAGTGATGATCAAGAAGGTGTAATTATTAAAATAACTTATTGTTTGATTTTAAAAATATAAATTGTAACCCTAACATGTTTTTTAAGTGTAATATATCTGTATTCTGTATTCCGTTTCTGTAGAATGACCCTACAGCGATTGGCCACTTTATCAGAAACACTTACCATATAGGTCAGGGGTGTCAAACAGTCTCAGCAAATCTGTGGGCCAGCTTTGTGTTTATTTTTTGTTTTTACTTGACATTTTGACCCCAACTGGCCATTGTTTGTTTAAAATACGTCAAAACTACAATGACAGAAAATAGGCACTGAATACTTCAGTGATTCAAAAATAATTGTAAATAAAAACAAATGGTTTCATATAAAATAATAGACTAAATCAGCTGTTAAACCTCTTTAAATGTCCCCACTGTACAGTAGCCTTTTTTTATTTTTTATATTTTTGGTGCTGTCCCATAGATTTTAGTTGGGGAGGGGATGGGAGCACACATTACGTTGCAGTGCATGCTGGGAACTGTAGTGTAGTTCATGGTGAAGTGGGCTAGTATTAATAGAAAATTAAAATAATTTTGCGGGCCATACAGGACTGTGACACGGGCCTGATTTGGCCTGCGGGTCTTGTGTTTGACACATGGGATATAGGTGCACTTTGTAGGCTTACAGTTACTGACTGCAGCAGCACTGACTGACTACAGTCAGCAACTGTAAACCTACAAAGCACACCCACAAAAGTGACTGTACAAAAGTCAGACATTGTCTTTCATGCGTTTAGTTTCCAGTAAAAACAACCAAGATTCATATTTCAGGAGATTACATATAAGATAATTCTCTTGCATAAGGAAGGAGAAAGTCAAAGAAAAATAAGGGGAAAAGCAGAAGTTTCCAAAACAGTTCAACCAGCGATGAAAAGAGAGAAAATGGGGCTCCTAACAACCACCCGGAAGACCTGGTAGACACCAAAGCTGCCCCCCTCAGATAAACAGCACTTAAAGCTTTCATCTCTGAGAGAGAGGAGAAAATCAAACTGCTTCAGATCTGAAAACATCCACAGGTGTTTCTGTCCATCCTTCCACTGTGAGAAGACGACTCAGCGCTGTGGGTCTGAAAGGATGTGTAGCTGTCAAGAAGAACCTCACTGAGAAAAGGAGACGGACACATCAAACAAAGAAGCTGAACGATGGACTGACCACCCCAGAGTCCAGACCTCAACACCACTGAATGTGTTTAATTACTTCAGAAAATCATCAACCAGCTTCTAAGACTGAACTTTGGAGGTGTGTCTGCAGATTCTTTGAGGAACTGAAAGTGAGTCTCCTGAGAAGAATGGAGGCTGGAATAGAGGTGAAGAGTGACTCACTGAACACTGAAAAATCTGATAGTAGATTTAGTTGTTGAGGCTTCTGTGTGATTTCCTGTTAAATACATGCTCTGCGTTTTTCCTGACACTAAAAAATGAATGTACTGAATGGCTGTTTGACTGGAAATGAAGTAAATGAAGGGTATGTATGTGAGTGCAGGTACAAGATCGATGTACTTAATAAGTTAATAATTCAGGGTATTTTTCACTGAAAATATTAAACCTCTCAAACTCTAAGGGCCCCTGTGGGGCCACAGTTCAGTTCTCATAACTACATTAATAACTTATTTTCTTTGTAGTTCATTCAGTTCAGACAATAATAAGCTGTTAGATTAATAATGGATCAGCCTGCAGTTGTAGGGGTTAAGGCTGATCATAAAGTAATGACTGTTTAACAATTTGCATGTTTCATTCACAATAAAATAAAAAATAATAATAAAAGTAATAAAATACTGTAGTTCACTCCTCTGTGCGTCCCCCATACAAATCCAATCCTCAGCAGTTTGACCGACATGGATTGCCACGTTTGCAGCATTACTAAGTGGTCAGATATGCGGTATGCATTTGCAGCTGCTGCAGACTTTGGCTGGAATTGATCCAAAAGCAAGGGAGCAACGGGGTGGTGGGTGCTGTCCTACAGTATATCCATCCAAAAGACAATAATGGATCTGTTCATCACAGCTGAACGTCGTGGTGATAGAATACACAGAAGTGCTTTATCCCTGTGCTGTTATTAAGCAGTTCTGTTGAGCACGGAATACAGGAAATGTTCGAGTCGTCACAGTTAAAACTACATGTTGTGACCATTTTCTTGCTTTACGTTATCTTTAAAAGAGACATCGTGGTTGAGAAATTTGAATTCTATAATAATTCCCATCCTACAAATCAGAGCTAGCATTTTTTTCTAACAGTGAAAAAGCGAAATGAGCTCTAAAGGATCTCGAGCAAAGCTTCTTCTTTCATTTTGAAGCACTGTATGAAGTGGAAAAGGCCGAACGTGGAGCGTTTTTAAGGTTCAAATTGATGTAATCAGGGGTCGCAACCTAAATGTTAAGAAGAGCCATTTTGTGCTTTCTACAAAAAATCAAACCACCTTTGGAGTCACAACATTTTACGTCCATTTTACCATCTTGGCTGTAAATATGTCTCAGTATGTGCTGATGTACCAGTAAAGGCTAAAAAATATAATATAAATGAAAACGCCGACTTACCTTTTTCTCTGCATACTTTGTCAGCCCCCTTTTACCCTGTTCTTCAGTGGTCAGGACCCCCATGGACCCTCACAGAGCAGGTACTATTTGGGTGGTGGGTCATTCTCAGCACTGCAGTAACACTGACGTGGTGGTGGTGTGTTAGTGTGTGTTGCGCTGGTCTGAGTGGATCAGACACAGCAGTGCTGCTGGAGTTTTTAAACACCTCAGTGTCACTGCTGGACTGAGAATAGTCCACCAACCAAAAATATCCAGCCAACAGCGTCCTGTGACCACTGATGAAGGACTAGAGGATGATTAGCTCATACTGTACAGCAAGAGATGAGCTATCGTCTCTGACTTTACATCTACAAGGTGGACCAATGATGCAGGTGCATCTAACAGAGTGGACAGTGAGTGGACACAGTGTTTAAAAACTCCAGCAGCACTGCTGTGTCTGATCCACTCAGACCAGCACAACACACACTAACACCCACCTCCATGTCAGTGTTGCTGCAGTGCTGAGAATGATCCACCACCCAAATAGTACCTGCTCTGTGAGGGTCCATGGGGGTCCTGACCACTGAAGAACAGGGTAAAAGGGGGCTAACAAAGTATCAGAGAAACAGATGGACTACAGTCTGTAACTGTAGAACTACAAAGTGCACCTATATAGTAAGTGGAGCTGATAAAATGGACAATGAGCGTAGAAACAAGGAGTTATGCCTGATCGGTGTGAGTATATAAAGCCTGGACAGGTCAATAACAAAGCAAATGATGCTAACCACTAGCAAAGCCTAATGATATGATATGAATTGCCAGCCATTTGCTGTTTGTTTCCTCAGTTGATAAAGTATCTCTGTAGTGTTTGCTGGGCTGTTGGGATTTTAGTTAAAGTGAAGTGACAGCCTGAAAGTCTGTGAATAACATCTTGGGGGAGGAAAGCTTTAATACTTTTATCCTCCAATTTTCTGTCTTTAAATAGTATTGCTTCATCAAATGATCTGGCTTGAAGCAGCCGCACAAAGATTTCAGAAAATTTGCATCATGCTAATTGGAGTCCATTGGATTTCACTTCTTGGGTGCAACATCAGTCATTCGTCCAGCAAACGACTACAGAGTCCATGCATGAAGTCCTTTGTGGGGGTACTTTTGGTAAAAGTACCGGTGCTGTTTTTCAGTGTACTGAGGCATTCTGGATTAAAAATAAAAAACAGAAAAGGGACGAAAGTGCAGTTAGAACTATGCTGCTCATATTAGTCTTGGCACAAAAAGCCTCTATGTAATGTCCTGTGTAGGACACATTATGCTCTCTTGGATTCCCAGCCACAAACTCACACGCTTAGACTGAATATTTTATATATTCAATATTTCGGGTATTTTTGGCAACAATCAGAAATTATGAAATGACAAACAATGCAGTGTAATTATCTTTACAATCAAAACATCATGCATTCTTTATATCTATGTATTCTTGAAGTTCTAGAGATCAGTCTCCAGCTCTGTTCATCAACTCGGACACATTCAACATTAATTTTTTCTGTCTTTTTTCAGATTCTCAGTTTCCTAATAGTCATTTAACTCCTGCGCGCACAGAACTCGATTTTATAATGATCTTATACATTTATCTGCAATCAATCAACAACATTCATTCCAAACTTGTTAGCCATGCTAAAGGATACATGGCTAACAAGAACACAAATAAAGGCACTAAAGCACAGCTCTACTCCAAGTGTTTTTGCTCTGCAAAGTTGCATGGCTAGCT